ATAATTACAACTTAAATTAAATAAAAAAACTTATTTAAGTAATAGCGATTAATAAATATAAATATAAAAATTTATCAATTAATTATTAGTATATCATTATTTTATTAAATAATAAACATTTTTTTATAGAAAATAAAATTTAATTATAAATAAAGGTTCAGCGTAGGGAAATGCGGAGTATACAATACCCATCTCTGAATCCTATATTAGATAATTTTTTTTTATATTAATTTCGGTATCCGATAATCACCTTACACCTCAATTAATTTAAAATTGAGTCGCGTGAGACTTTATTTGGGAGAAACTCTCTTAATGTTAGTTTTTCTATTTACAATACTTAAATTTGTGACTTTACTTAAGAGAAACTGAATTCCTTCTACTTGGACTAACAGATCATTGATAGATAAAAAAATGTTAAATCTATAAAATTGAATGGAACTAATAATTTTTTTTACTAACTTAATTTTTTTTATTAATTTTGTGGTATCAGGTAATCACATTGAATTTCAACTAATTTGGAATTGGATCGCATTGAATCTTGTATGGGAAAACTCTTCCAATGCTTATTTTTTTATTTATAAGACTTAAATTTGAGATTTTATTTAAAGAGAATTGAGTTCCTTCTATTTGAACTAATATATCGTTGATTACAGAACTAGTAATTAATTATTAACCAATTATTTTATTGGTTGAATGGAAAGAGCTTGATTTTTTTAAAAATAAAATTTTAAATTTAAATTTTATAAATAAAAAAATAAGTATTAAGAGAATTATTTCTTATAAAATTTGATTCGGGGCCACTTTAAATTAAAACTCAATATAATTTCTATAAGATTGTTAAAAACAAGAATAATTGATTATAACCCTCCGCAACTGAACCCTTTGAACAGAAAATGCAAATTTTCTACATTCAATCATACCAAAAACAATAGGAAGATGATACATACACTCTCTAAAATTATATACCGATAATTGTTGTTAGTATACTATTAAAATGAATGATTTTTATTATTTATGTAATTGAAATTAATAATTTTTATTATTTTTATCTTTAAAATTGATAATTTTTATCAATTTTAATAATATATTAACAAAAATTGTTAATGTATAATAAAATATATAACCTTTATAAAATGTATGCGTAAGTGTCTAACACAATAACTTCATAAATTGAATTTTCAAATTCAATGATTCATTTCTAAATTTAGTATTTGATTTTAATTGGTTGGAGTTCAACCTCCCACCAATTGCTTAAAAAAATCTGCCATCCGCAACTTTCTCCATGCTCCAAAAAATAAAAAAAACTCCCAATAACTTCATATTTCAGTAATTGTTTTTAAAGGTGCTTGATACGTAAATTTAAAATTGACGATTGACTATTTAGGTTAGTCGCCAACCAATAAAAATATGCCCATTCAATTTTAGTAGACATAAATTTTAATTTATGGTGTTTAAATTTAATTATTTATTATTTATTTTAAAGATATAATTTAATATATTTATTTTTAATTTATTTTTATTTAAAAAATAATTACTATATACAGTATATTTTTTGGTTGAATTTTAGTAGACATAGTCTTTTTATCTAATAAAATAAAAATATAATAATTTATTAATAAAATTTTATAGTTATTCTTAATTAACCATTACTTAAATAATATTTTTTTATTATATATATTATAATTATTTTTTAAAAATAAAGTTAAAGTAAAAATAAAGATATTAAATAATATCTTAAAAAGAAAAAGTAAATAAGTAAACATAATATTATAGTTACAATATTAGATAAGATTCAAAACTTACAATCCTTACGATCCTTATAATCCTATATTGTATTAAATGAAATATGACGTGATATTAAATGAATATATATTATCAAAAATAAATTTCAAAATAAAAAAACTAATTATATAATGACATATAATTTTATAAACTTACAATAATATTATGTGTCATTTTAAATATAACTTTTTAGACAATTAAATTTGAATGTAGCAAACTAAAGAGTAGATCTATTAAAGTTAAATAAAGTAATTTTAAATAAAAAGTTTTATTTAAATAATATTTAATTAAAAATAAATATAAATTTTTATTAATAAATTATTATATCTATATTTTATAAATAATCAAAAAAAT